CCTTTCAGTGTACCTCAGGTTTTTCTAACTTACTTTAGAGGTGTTTTTTCCTTCAAAGTATCCATGCTTGAGAGCTCATTCTCAACTGTAAGCTTTAAACTGTAAATAACCTGAAATTAGAAAGTGCATTTTTAGCTTCTATTGCATCATCACACGTTCAAGATCTTTTAGAAGCCATCTGATTCTCCTCAACCAGAATTGTAAAGTAGGGCAATTTATAAAATGTTTGCAACTGTGACTTAGTCTAGCAGGAGGGAACTGTATAGGACAGGGGTGTCAAACATGTGGCTCACAGGCCAAATTTGGCCCCCAAATCCCCATTATCCAGCCCCCGGTGCTTTCCCTAGGTTGCCTCAAGCCTCCCCACTAGCCACCCCATCCCAATTTACATTAGATCAGGTGGCCATTTCTAAATTAATCTAACCTCCCCTAACCTCCCCAAATGTCTGTCAGTACTCCATGTGTCCCCTGAAACTAGGGATTGCTCTGCTTTTTCAAGGAGTCTATATTGACTTTACAAACAGTAGTAGGCTTGCTTCTGATCTCATCTACACTGTTGCAATTTTATTAACTTCAATGAATTGCTCCTGATTTCCACTCATGCAACTAAAATCCTAATCCTAATCAAACCTGTATTTCTTCCCATATCAGTTTTTAATCCCCTGCTGATTTTAGCTGCCTGAAGGCGCAGAGAGACAGCTGAGCCCATAAAATCAAAAGGTGTGCATGCACTGCAAAAACCTCCCTGCATTTTGTCAACAGTCCTCTGAGACTTTTCAGTGAGCTATCGCCTTCACAGAAGTCATCCCTTTCCTGCCTGTAAAATCAATTGAACGGAGGTGGGGAAGTGGAGGAAAACAGATTTGTTTGACAGCCTTTTTTTCTGTCACTATTGCATGTACAACTCCTGAGTGCTCACCAAGAGAGTCCTTGTTTGCCCTAGCTTTTCACGATCTGTGTCCTAGATTTTAGCTTTGAAATTCTGGTCACCTTTCCCTCTGTTCCTCTTCAGATCCATAAGCAGCCTGTAAATCAAGTGCTGATTCTCACAACTACTATTTTGAAGCATGTAAAAAATAATTGCAAAGGAGTCTGGAGAGGACCAGTTCTTAGCACAAAATAGAATAGGCAATCCCTAATGTACAAATAGCAGGGATTGCAAAATGTTTTAGTATCCTTTTACTTTGTATCTATGGATTGGAGGTCTTTTTTACTCTTCAGCAAATACTTAGAACTGGTAGTACATCTCTGCAGTAATAGTTTTGAGTGTAAGAATGAAAGGAAAAATGTTATAAATTTCATCAAATGCTAAATTGTGCATTAGTGATGCAATCTTTTTAATGGAGTTGGACACGTAATGGATTCAGCCACAAAACCTATAACACAATACCCATTTCCTTCTCTTAAGATGTTATATACAGATTTTATGCATATATTAACAACCCTCCTTCCTAATGCCCTAGCTAAATAGAAATACAACTTGCTTTGTGATTTAGAGAATCTGTGAATTAAGAATGAAGCCATTACTTATGAGCAGCATACCTGTATATTTTTCTGGATAACTATCCCATGCAGAATGCATGACCAAAATCTCTCTCAAATACAGAGCTCTTTTAATGACATTATTGAAATAAGCTGATTGATTTGATCTGGGACTAAAACTTACCCAAGTTCAAGCTGCCGACATATGACTGATGCATCATTATCATCCCAGTTGTTGCTGCAGATGATTCCCCAAATTCCGTTCAAATAAACCTGCACAGTGCCTTCAAACTCATCTTTGCCACCTCGAAGTCGTACTGACCCTAAGTAAAAGAAAATGGTAAATACTTCAAAGGGGAAGATGCTGGCTATTTCCATGACCGCATTAGTTTATACCATGTAAAGGACTCAGTTTCAGTTCCATTCTGCTCTGAATATCACATGTAGCCTGTTTTTACTTCATGTTCCTTTGGAAGGTTATTTCTAATTAACACACTCTGGTACTTCTAAAATACCTGACCCATTGATTCACAAAAGCAAGTGACCAATTCTTTACAATAACTTAGTGAAGAAACGTCTTGGCTGTGATACTGTAGCCAAAGTATTAGTTAAAGATTTAAAGAGTGAAGATGTGTTTCTGCATATCAGTGTAAATGTTGTAGAGCCTAGACGTGATTTCTGTTGATGTAATTGATAATGTTATTAAAGAAGGAGTATTTTTATCTTCTAATTCCATCTGATTTAAAGGAATTAAAAAGCAATCACATGGATTGCATAGCTTCTACACTGACCCATATAATATCATGAATGTCATAGATGCCTGCAGTTTATTTCAGGCCAAAGAATGCATTTGTTCATATCTGACCTCAAACAAAACACCATTTGACGTAGTTAATATGAATCTATGATAGGTCAAATATCCATATCAAACAAGCTTTTAAAAAAAAACCTCAAACCAAAAGGATTGGAGAAAAATGCATTACCAAAATACAAGTTAAGAGCACAGCATGCAAAATCAAAGACTTGAAGGGTCTTTCTATATTTTAGACACCAGGATGAGGGTGTATCTTGTGTGTTTTCTGGCAGTGTAAGAATTCCCTGTAGCTGCATGCATTCAAATGCCAAATACGTAAGTATGAAAAAGGTCAGTTCTATATGTTGTATTAGAAAGACAAATCCAACAATGAATGGTGCAAAAAATCAACATAAATTTAAGGTTTTGCTGATAAACTTTGTGCATAAGTATTTTATGAAATGTTAAGTGATCCATATGCCCATGTTCTCTTCCCTCTTTAAGAACAAAAAATAGACCTTCACCCAGGCTGCAATTCTATTAGCCAAGAAAGATTATTAATCTCTCTCCCTCTCTCTCTCTCTCTCCCCCTCTGTGCATGTATCATACATGTTACAGTGGTTGGATTTAGTTTTCTTCCTTTCCTACAACTTTCACTGAGGGCAGGTTCTGTTTTTAATTTAGCTCACCATAGTTTATGAAACCTGAAGGCAAATGACTGCCAAATAACTCAAGGAATTAATTAACCTCAGACTCAGTCTGTGTGTGTTCCTTTTTGCCTTATGATTTATTTTCACAATATACTGTACAGTAGTATACAAATATTAAATCAAGATTATAAATTGACCCATTTTATCAAGACGTGTGATTTATAATGGATTAATTGTAACATTATTATATAAAATTAGTGAACAGAATAGCATTTTTAACAACCTACTGTAAATCTGGAAACAATCAATATTTTTATCACTGTCTTCTTCACACTTGGATATTAGACACACAGACATGCTGTCCGGTACATCAGTGACGCTTGGGGCATGGTAAAGGGACGGTTGGAGCCATGCTTTGCCCATAAGGCTGGGGTGCACCAAGATACCCAATACAGAATGGGGCCAGGGTATAACTAAAAAAACCGTGTCCAAGAGGACAAAAGGAAGCCTCCCTTTAATATATATACAAGATCAAGACATGGCGGGCAAGATTCGAGGGTGCTTTGAGACAAAATTGGCATGGTAAGGGGGTGCCAGGGGAGATCACAGCCACCCCTAGGACCCCGCACCATGACAATAAGATTTAACTATGTGGAGGGACAGACCTAACTTTAAATAACATTTCAAAAATACTACTTTCCCTTTTTTAAGTTTGGATATCTTATCTTGGTAGATGAAACTCGTGGTTTCATAATAAAAAATAAGCCTATTTCCTTTAAGCTATAACATGTACAATGGACCACAGTTGACTGAGGGAAATTATATTTATCTACATTTGACTATGTTCATAAATTAACTAATTAATATTTATGACTACAACTATCTTCTTAAAAATTAATAGATTACAGGCAGTCCTTGGTCTTACAACACAATTGGTTCCTGAAAACAGTCTTAAGTCAAAACGTTGTAACTCGGAACTGATTTTCCAATAGGAAACAATGTTATAAACAGGGGATTGGTTCCTGAACCAAGGCCTGATACCCTATTTTCACCAAAAATAACCCAGAATATGGTACTCAATCAATTATAGATGAGTAATATAGCTACATTAATGTATTTATATTGTAAATAGCAATCATATTGATTTGGAAGGACTTCTTTGAGGTGACTTTGCTGGACTTTTTCAAGGGCTCATGGTTGGACTTTTTGAAGGGTTCTTTTCTGGAGTCTTGTCTGCTTTCTTAAAGGAAGTCTGGATAGATGTTCTCCAGGGAGATGGGCGATGCAGCAAACTTGTTCGCTGGTGTGGCATCATGTCGGATCAAGCATTGTAAAGTCAAAACTGATGTCAGAAAGTTGAAACAGGGAGTCAATTTATAAACGCTGTAAGTGCAAAATTAAGCATGTACAGAAATAGAGGCCTCCATAAATCCTTATAAAGGATTTAGGACCTGGTCTGACTGAAGTAAATGGGCAAAGTTAGCAGCCTCCTAGAAGCTGCAATGGGCATTTGTCACTGACTTCAACAGGAACAGATGACCTTTCAGTTGGAAAACTTTGCTACTGTCAAGTAGCTAGGTCCTATTACCTGACTGGTACTAAGCTCAAACTAGGTTTTCATAAATTGTAACTTATATCAGCACAGAAAAAGCCAAGTTTTGGCTAAATCATTTCACTCAGTATTAAGTGAAGCAGGCTTCCTACTGAACTTTTCAGAAACTGGTTTCAGATAAACCTGATTGAACGTGGTATCAGACTTAACTGATTTGGCTCAAACCAGTTTATAAAATGTCTGTCCCAGGCCCCTTCCTGGTTTAACTTAAACCAGAGTCCGCCAGCATCCCAGATGCTTTGCAACCCTGGGTGGGACTCTCTGCTCCAGAGAACTGGGCTGGCCCTTCCCTTCTGCTCCCAGATTGGAGCTCCAGCAGAGACTACAGGCAATGGCATCTGCCTGGCTTCCTGTGCTGTTCCCCCCTACCACCACTCCCTAATCAGAACATCCTGCCAGGGCCTGGCCTCGTGCCCCCTCAGCTCAGAGTTGTGCAAGGGAGGGCTGCTCTAGCACCCCCTGGCTTCTAGCCCAAGCCCCTGATGGAATATGCCTGCTTTTCTTCCGTCCAGAGGGGATGTCTGTGCCATTGCAAACTGGTTCAGCCTAGACAGGTTAGATGAACCTGCAAAGATTGAATCAATTCAGGCTCAGGCTTTTTGAATGCCTGTCCCTAGCCCTGGGGGAAAAAGCCAAGTTGGCTGTAAAATAAGATATTTTTGGGAAACCAATTTGAATTTTTTCATACAAATTTTTCATCAAAAACATGAAAAAGGAATTACCAGCACTAGAGGAAATAATTCCACAAAGACCAATAGTGAGTCATCTGTGCTACCATCCTACCACCCACACCCTCTCATTCTGTTTGTTCATTTCCATATCACACTACTTCCCTCCCCCTCTCCCTTCTCCATCCGCCCATTTAATACTAAGGAGTATCTAGTATATTGTCAGGTGCTGGTGGCCACAGACTGCTGTAATCAAGTGACCGTATCTCAGAATCTCAGTTCCACTTTTAAAATGCAATCTTTTTAAACTTGAAAATAAAGCTTGAAATATTGCTGGAGTATTTTCAATGTAGTGATACCTGCTTAAGCCTGCAGAAAGCCTGAAACAATGCTCAGAAAGGTTTGAACTATCCCAGTCATCTCAGTGGACCATTCAAAAGGGCCCTATCAATATTAGTCCTTTGTAGCAGGCTTCCATTCTAAGGCATCAACTCTCTCCCCAGACAGATACACCCTAGCTGCTGGCCTACTCCCTTGTGGACAGCACCATGGTCCTCTGCTGTCAGCCACATGTCCTCCAGGGTAGGAGACCTGCTGCTTTGCCTTTGCCAGTCTGAAAGGAAAGAGGTGTCTCTGCAGGAAACAGAACCCTCTCTCTCCCCAAAAGAGAGAGACCCATGGAAATGGAGCCACCCAAGGTCTATGCTGGGCATGGGAGAGCATGTTATCATTAACCCAGAACCCAAGTTAGTCTTAATCCAATCTTGAATTGAAGACTGGGTATTGAAGAACCACAAACACTAGATTAGACAATAATTTTATTCAGATATGGAGTTTTACATAAGCTTTTGTTTCACTGGCTACTTAGTTCTGCTTTGTCTGCTTCTCTCCAAGAGACCCAAGAAAGGGTGCTTTGGTACTCAAAAGCTTGTCTGACTCTATCCCAATGATGCAGATGGTCTAGCAAAAGATATTAGCCACAAAAATTCTTGCTTCTGATATATCTCCTGGGCCATCAGTTATAACATCACCTCAACACTACCAAAACACTAGATTACAACCTTACACCTCACTTAATGCTGCTATACTTTTTATATGACTGAGGAAAAATATATGCATTGAGTTTCTAACTCCAGGGGTTATCAACTGGGGGTACGCATACCCCTGGGGGTTCTTTGAAAGGTCTCATGGGGTATGTGGGGGTGGGCGGGGATGGAGCGCCACCACCCCACACTGCTGCCTCACAGGGACAGGGCTGGTGCAGGGTGAAAGCAGGGCCATACAGACACTGCACTGCCGCCACTCGCCATCCCTCCCCCCTCCCTGGTTCCATGTCTGGCTGCTCACACCTCCCCACTCCCCCCGCTTGGCATCCGGCCACTCACCACCTCCCCTGCTCCCTGAGGGTACACTTATTAAAAAGGGGGCCACCAGGGGGGTACACTTATTTTAAAAGGTTTAAAACCCCTGTTTTACTCAAATAGTTTCATCCAATATCAGCAGGCACTTCATGTTGTTTATGTAGTGTGGTAATTTTAGTTGCTCTGGGATCTTCCCCAAGTCAGAATGTTCCATATCAGCTATTGCCTATTACCCTTGA